TAGTATAATTATTGGGTCTTCCTTGGGGATCGACAGGTGTTCATGTCTGTTGATCTGACTATTCTGTAGTTATTACATCATGCTGCTGGCTGGACCAAGGTTAATCTAGTCCCATCAAAACAACTAGGTCAACCGTCACGTGGTTGTGTTGTCAACTACCCAAAGCTACTGAACCGGTGGTCATCTGTAATGCCTTTGCCTTATGGGTCACATTGAGCTCAAGAGGCTTGTGCGGTTGAGCCTTCTATTGACACTTCGGTGAACCCTCCATCGGAAGCGGACTTGACGAAACTTTATGCCACAGGCGTCCCGCAGCTCCTTGTGTCACCTGTGTAAACAGAGGAATTCGACTGGTTCATCCAAAGCTCTGTTGGGATTAACCATCCCGTGCTTAACCTTATCTTGTTGAGCTCTGCTGAAATCGGAAATGCCGTTACCTGACCGGACTGTGCCTGTCTGTCTGTATGCGGCACGTGGAATCACATGGTATGAAGCAAAGTCATATTAGCCTCATGTCGTTGTTCTGTAAAACCGATTATCGGCCATTGTCCCAAATTCACTGCGACTAAACCATAATTGCACGTTTCAGAAATGTCTCCGGGCAAAATATCCAAAGCTTAAATGTTGGTTGGACTTTCCTGGTGGTTTTCCTTGTTCTCCACACTGATACGAGCTATCCTTAGGACCAATTCCACAACACCAAGGGCAACGAGTCTGTAGGCTGCCCTGACTTCTGTTGCACCGAACTCACTTTTTTCGGAAATGATGAAAAACCAGTGGTAGTTAGCAGTTAGGAACTTTCAACAATGCAACCGACTTTCTGATCCACTGTGAGCTTTGAGATTTCAAAGAAGAACCGTTAGTAACTCGTAGCTAAGACGATCCCGTGCACCAGAACGAAGAGTTGGGTTCGGAAGCCTACCATGTCATTACCAAACAGTAAACATGTGTGTAAAGCGGGAGATAAGAATAAACGAGTTTGTTTTTTCACCCGCACAACGCAAGATTAAGGATTCCCTCAGGAGAAATATTGATGCAATGGAATGGTAGAAGACGCCCATCAGGGAAGGTTGCCCAAGGAAAAGGATGCAGTGTGCTTTCTACCGCTTTCTTGTCCTTGTTAGTGACCTCCACCCTAAAGGGACAACTTAGTTTCGGTTCTCGAATATTGTTGTTAGGCTTATTGGTAAAGTACAATCCTCCCAAATAAGGAGAAAATTTTTTTGGAAATTTTGGTTTTATTTCTCTCTAACATGGTCTGCCACTGTTTCAAAACTCGAGATACTAGAAAATTACTTGGTACGATAACTAATCTCAATTGAGCCACCAAAGTTCACGATACTCAGATGCCAAGTTTGCACATTGGTTCATTCATCATCATCATCATCATCATCATCATCAATCAGCATCATCATCATCATCATCATCATCATCATCATCATTATCATCATCATCATCATCATCATCATCAACATTATTATTATTATCATCATCACCATCATTATCATCATCACTACTAATTAATGAGCCCGACACCTGAACCGGTCGCACAAAGAAAAGGTCCCATCGGTTATGTACTGGTATCGAGTAAATACATGAGCCTTTGAGCACCCATATGACGGGTATCAACCAAATCTAAGAACGATTCCAATTAGTGGTGAGCTGAATCGTCTAATAAGATTTCAACTATTTAGTAGTTAACCCAGATGTTCTTGCCTGAGCCCTTGAAATGAGATGTTCCTTTCCCTCACATGTCAAAATAGTGACTCCGGAGTGGTCGAAAAGACGATAAATTGCTTCACAACTGTGTAGATTTCAAAGCCCGCCAATGAAAACTTTGCATTGCAATGGTTTTTGGAGTAAGAATGCAACCAGCCAAGCAGTTAAATATGCATGCGTGAAAGCGGGCAAGATTGCTGTTTTACAGGGTGATACCGCCTAATATAGATAAACAACTAGCCCATCACCGACACAAGTTTTTATTCTTCTTTCGCTGGAGTTTGGTCTCCAAGACGGAACGTTAGTTTTGGTCCTGTGAACTCTGCCAATGGACTTTAGTACAACGTAGAGCTATCATCATTTCCCTCCCTAAATAATGAATAGACCGAAAGTGTTCTGCCTTCTAGAAACCACCACACCCTGATTGAGACGCAGTGATGCTTATAACGACAGTCGACGCTGGTCCAATTACTGGGTCACATCGCTCGAAAGCTAACTTTAACTGTATTACTTACCTCAAGGTTAAATTAAATGGAGTCAAAGAACTGGGCAGTATATCACAAGACATTTGTAGGATCTGTCTATGTTCCTTTTAAACACTAGACTGTGGGTTTGTCAATGTTTGCCTCAGTCAACGCCAAAGGCGTATCGAGTTTAATATACATGCAATTACGCCCATGAACTTGGTATATCGATTCATCAGGACAGTGGGACAATTCCTTCTCTTTTCTCGGGCAAAAATCAGACTGGTGAAAAACAAGGAGAACCATCATGAGAAAAATCTGGAAATCGGTCTTGATACCTATGGAAGATTTGAACGCTATGCATAGGAAGAGTGGAGCATACTGGAATTATAGGTAATTACAGTGCTTGTGAGAATTATTGATGTAGGCTTACATATTTTGGTTCATGATGATACGTGCAAAGTTCGGTACAAAAACACTGTAGAGATTACGTCTCCTTTAAGCTGACGCCCGCCACTAGTAGTTCTGTAGTAGGTTCTGCGGAAGAAGTGAATTAAGGCGAAATCAAACGTCGTTTTTCTGAGCAAACCAACTTCAAGTGTACTACACCTCGTAGAGAAGAAACAGTTTTTCCTTTGCAAATTATCTTTGTACAGATACAATCATATCGAATTGGCAGTCTTTAAACAAATTTCGTGGCGCTATGCAAGACCGTATCCCAAAAGTCCTTCCCCATGTCCCATAAGCTCAATATTGGGATTTCTCCAATTGGACTCCCCCACAGAAAAGACAACTTTGACAAGATCCCTACTGAGGAGGCCACTCTCTCCGCGTGGTTAGTTGGTGTAAATGTAAGATGGTGAGTCATTGGAACGACCAAATCAACTTCAAATTCTTGGTACTATTTGACTGCATTTTGATTAGTCTTCCTGTAAATCCCACAAAAAATGTGTAGCCATGGTCAAAATAATCCTTCGAATAAAACAAGTGCACCACCCACTTAATTATCGAACTCTACCGAGTTTTTCGTATCACTTTCACTAATTTCTGACCTAATAATAGCAGCATGTCTCCTTTGCATAAAATGTTAGTTAATTATCTAATCCTTCGTCATAAAACTTCCTTCACCAAACAGCTGTGAATAACAGTTTTGAGATTGATTTTGCCTGCTATCTGCATTAACCGGGCGAAAAACACTTGTCCGAGAAAAACAACCTACACAATGGGCGTATCTTTAGTAGGAAATATAAATTGGTTCCTACCGAATTCATCGTAGTTAGAGGTATTCGTTGAGTGATCTGACGGCCAGATCCATCGGCTGCAACGGTCTCTTTCAAACCAGTTGATTCGTTTTCTTCTTGTTCTGAAACTTCACTCTTCTGTTTTTTCCCTCACAGGTTCCCACCTACTATCTATGTAAATCTACAGACATGGCTGGAGTGAATTACCTGTGGTGTGACTGAGTGCTGTCTTGTCAGCACAAGCAATAAAACCAGGCACATCTGTATTCTGCGACCGCACTATAGGTCACATCCGGTCGTCCTATACGACGGTTTGTCATAATGGTTACCTAATGGTTATTATAACAAAACTACACTAACAGGCACGAAGGTAGAGGATAATGCGCTTCACAGTATGGGATGTCTTAAGCAAGTGAAGGTGACCAGAAAGCCAGGTAACCGATATGATCTGTCCGTTCACGGACATTGTTTGTTGGCTTTGTAGCTAATTCACTGAGTGCGAGAATTCCTGGTTACGGATGGATCAGCACTAAGAATTGCTCGCCAAATGATCAAACCGATTGACTGTACAATACGCGTGTCGTTCAGTTGTTAAGCAAGTGTAGTTTGTGGTGCAGGCTTTTCGCTTAGTGTCTCGATGAACAGCCCATCCTCCTCAACGGTACGATAAAGACAGCAGTTGCCTCATTTATATACAGCTATGGATGAAAATTCTACTCTTACCTCAAAGACTTTTGCGGTAGTTTGAAGTCTTTTGAGTAGCCAGATTAGTTTTCACTACTCACCAGCGCTCAAAGAAAGCATTGCCAGCTTGAATTTAGTCAACCAGAATTTTATGTACGCAGAGGCTTTTGGGTTCAGAGGCGTACAACTGCACCTTACATTCAACCCTTTCGGAATTGACTTACTAGTGTTTGATTCCGTTTGATTAGTTTTGCCACAAAATTTATCCCATCACCAGCCACTACTTCGATTGCACCGGGTTCAATCTTTATTCCTTGACTGTGGATTTGAATCTTCCTCGAGGCGTAGGGGACCCTAATTGCTAGCGACGAACAACAAGGATAAAACAGCCCTTTGGAGAATTTTTCTTCTTGGCTTGGGTAGTTTTTCCACACAGGATGAACTTCACAATTTTCGTTTGCTGAACTGTACTCGCTAAGTGGTGCTATAGTTGGAGTGCACTTCCCCTTCCGAATAGTATCTATAAGCTAAGTGGATTGGTCTTTCAGGGAAGCCTTGAAACTGGCTTCATGGGGTCCTACCCTTACTTCAGATGATTCAACAAGGCACAGAAGCTTATGGAGTCCTTCTTATCAAAGCAATTCCTAATGGAAGCGCCGTTTTGTTCACCCCGAAACTCTGCTACCGCATAAATTCTATCATGTCATTCTACATCCAGCAAAACCTTTTTCCATAGTGAGAACATTTCATTCAAGTGCACTGATTTTCATCATTATTACACTGAATTTCAGGAGCCTGGCGATAAAATAACATAATAGATCATTTTTGCAATGATTGTTTGAATCTGAATTTGTAACGAAATCCCCAACCGGTACAAAGTGCGATAACTCACCCCTATGATGACGCCCAGGGAACCAAGTAACAACAACGCACATAACTTCCGGCCATCCGAGAACAAGTTCATTTTCGTCGGTAGTACACCGTTGTTTGCGACTGTATTATCATCCTAAAATACTGCGACTCGCAAGTATTCCATCCTACGTGGTGCACAATACCATTCCGAAACGTTCCATATCAATAAGTGAAATCACTATGAAAGTTCGACCTGCCAGTCGAACGTATGTCACGCGACCTTCGTGCACGAATTCATAATGCTGTTCTCCAGCCACATAAACGAATCAACATGTGAAACGAACCCACGAAAGAGTTTTCCAACCTACCACTATACGATAACATTCCACGAAATGCAACTTATTGATTGCTTTCTACCGATAGTTTGATACACTGATCGATGCACACAGCTGTAAAAAATTGATTCACATTTTTCAGTTGTGGTACTTGTGTCTGATCTCTACTGCCGTCAGCATTTATTGGAATTTCTCTAACCTGAGCTCGAATCAACACGTGATACCATTTTTCTAAGTATATTTTGCTTGCCCTTCCACCAGACGTTGAGTAATCTCATCATGGTGAGAAGTGGACCCGGTCCTACTCACCATGCACCCGGATGACTGGTGGTTAAACCAACTGATGTCTTGAGAGCTTTTGAACGGATGGTCTTTGCTTGAACACGTCGCGTTGCCACATCTTGCCCTACACACATGCCAGTGAACCTTTTTCAGACCCATATTATAAATTATTTTGGAACAGTATGGTCACAGATAGGGAAATTAAATGCAGGCGATCATGGTTACAGAATAAGAAGTGAAGTGTCTCATTCGAATTAATGCCACCAAACAAGAAGAGTCCTGACGTATGCAAGAATGCTTGGTATGGAAACGCGCGTGTATAGACCAACAACCGAGGAAGGGACAAACAATGCTGGATGCTTTTCAAGGCGCGTTGAGCACCAGCACAATCAAGACTTTCACATCAGGCACAATTTGTCCGTTATACTAGGTCTGAGATCCCATGGCGTTAATGTATACTCAGCGCCATGTACCACATATAAAAGTGTCGTAATTACGCACACAGCCCACAATGGCAAGCAAGCACAAGTCACTCACTGTTACCTTAGGTAGACCCATTTCAATAACAGTCTTGGCGGACTGAAGAAAGCAGATCCCTTCATGAGAAATAATCGTCGGCTGGCGAACCAAGAAGTTGACGTCACAACTGATTTCACCTGGGGCTGAGATTATGGCCACAGACAAGACCTGTGTAATTTTGTACAGTGAAAAATTTGCCCCCTCGCCTTAGTTTGAACAAGAAAAGACCGAATACTCAGATTATGTTTCAGTTTGTATGAAACTTAACAACCGAGCATCAGGTTACTGCGTCCTTACAGCCCGTGGTGCTCCGGATGCTAAGCAACTGCAAAACCGATCAGTCCATAACACATTAAGGATAAAGAGGTGTGAAAACGGATGTAAACATCAATTCGACACCTATAGGATGCTACAAACCTGCCTTGGTTTTGCTTTCGTTCGGCTGTTCAAGCCTGAACGGTAAACTGGGCTTCCTTGGAAAGTAAGCCCAACAACATTGTCACATTGTGCAGCTAAAATTTCCAAGTTGATGGTGCACAGCATACACAAGTGTCATCATCATCATCATTGTCAGCTGTAATTACCACGTACTCGTTGTACAGTGGTTGTAGCCGCCGCAGTTTCGTTCAGCGAGAGACGGGAGCTGATAAATTATTGTATAAGTCCAGCATTGTCAGTGGGCTGTCAAGTGAGGGTATTGGAAAAAGAGCTATGCACTGAAAGCAACAGCTCGGATGGACGAGCGCCGATGAGGGCGCGAGTGAGACATGTTTGACAATGTCTCCAACCACTGATGTGGCCTTTCTCGGGGTCCCCATCCAGGAAGACAGCAATGACCACCGCAGCTGAGTTTGCTGGTGATGGCTTTCATACTTCGCTACCAAGTCATTGTTTGCCCGCCTCTGGCTCGTTTCTACCCTTCACGTGGTTGTTCGAAAAAAACCCTTCGAGGAAGTCGGTCGCCTGGCATACGTAGCACGTGGTCAAGCCAGCGCAACCTATGCAGTGTGATCGGTTCATCTACCGAGGGTGAGTTGTTTCTCCTGAATACCATTCGGCGTACTTCAGAATTGCTGATCCGGTGTTCCCACCAGATTCGGGCAATGCTCCAAAGACATCGATGGTCAAACACCGAAAGTCTTTTGACGTCCTCGGCGCGAAGCGGCCAGGTTTCTGATCCATATAGTAATATGGAGCGCACCACAGCATTGTAAACTCGACCCTTGACAGAGAAGCTGATGTCACGCCTACGCCACAGGTGGAGTAGGTTCGCAAAAGCTGCTCTGGCCTTCCTGATCCGGATGGAAATATCATCTTTCGCGAGACCACCGGGTCTGCTGCAGCTTCCCAGGTAAACAAATTTGCCTACAACCCCATCGGTTCATCCGCAAGCATGAGGCTAGGGTACGAGCCCACCCAGTCTTGCGGCAGCACTTTACACTTTGCAGGTGGGAATTGCATGCTGAAGCTGGAGGCACAATTATTTAGATTATTTAATATTGCTTGCATTACCACCGGCTCAGATCCCAGAAGAGCTATGTCGTCTGCGTACTCGATATCTGTGAGCGGGGGCCCAGGGAGCACCTCGACCCCTCGGGCATTAAAGGCTGGTGGTGCGTCCTCCATGATCGTATCGATGACGAAGTTGAAGAGGAAAGGTGAAAGAGGACGGCCCCGTCGGACACCACTTGATGTGGTGAACTCAGGAGAAAGCTTCCCGTAGACCTTTACACGGCCGCGGGAGCTGGCGTACAGCGCCTTAATGAGGGTCAAGAATTTATGGGGGATACCTCTGCTACACAGACACTGCCATAGTGCTTGGCGGTCCACAGAGTCAAAGGCAGCTTTCAGATCAAGAAAAACAACCATTGTTGGTTGCTGGAAGCAGTGTCGCTGTTCCAGAATCTGTCGGAGGGTGAAGATATGATCGATGCAACCTCTTGCAGGACGGAACCCAGCTTGGTTTTCACGGATCTGCCTCTCTCTGTGTTCAGTCAACCTTCGAAGGATAAGGTCAGAGAGCACCTTCGACGCCACAGCTAACAGGCTGATGCCACGGTGGTTTTCACACAGCGCCCGCGTACCCTTTTTGAAGATGGGATAACTGTCGACATGACCTATTCTGCAGGCACTTTCTCTTCGTCCCACATAGTACCGATAAGCTGTGTCAGGTGGGTCAAGAGGGAATTTCCGCCTTCTTTGAAGAGGCCTGGATGCAGACCATCCGGTCCTGGTGCTTTCTCACGTTTCAGTACGGCTGTTTCGTACTTTATTTCTTCTTCCAAAAGGAGATCAAGGTTTACATTCCATTCGCCCGTATGCATTATCTCCACCGGTTGTGTTGCAGTAGGCCATCCAAACTGCTCTTCGAAGTGTTCGGCCCATCTCTCCAGTCGATGTTTTTGCGAGTGAATTAATGAGCCAGCTTTTTCACTTATCGTTTCGCTGACCGTTGCTTTCCTAGGGACAATCGATCGTATCAGTTGATAAAGAGCACGACTGTTTCCCGTAGCAAATGCCTTCTCCATCTCCTGAGCTTTTGATGCCCACCAGCGCTCTCGGTCTTTCCTTAGACTCCTCACTACTTGGCGTTTGAGGGATTCGCGTGCGCCGTCGTACTCGTTGCCTGCTGGTTTGGCTTTCCTGGTATCAACCATGGATAACGACCTCGACGACATCCAGTGGTCTTGTGGTCGAATTGGAGAAGTCGGGCAGGCAGCACTGGACGCCGCTAGTATAGTTCCTTTCACATTTCGCCACGCTTCATCCACACGCTCACTGCCACCACGGTATTGTTTTACTGTGGAGAGTTGTAAGTTCGCTCAGATCGATACTGTTGAGCTACGGCGTGCTTCTTGCCTGCTTGCGAGGGCCTGAAGGGAAACGAACTGTCGAGCTTGTACACACAACTGCGTGATCGGAATCAAGTGGTGTGCCCCAGAAGGAACGGCAGTTCTGAATTGTGTCTCTCCAACGGTAGCTGATGGCCACGTGGTCCAACTGGGTCCATGGTTGATTTGTATTTGGCGGCCGCCAGGTTGCGCGGTGCGAACGTTTGTGTTGAAATTTCATACTTGCCAGAAACAGTTCGTGAACTGCACACCTTGCCTCTGGTTGAAGTCTTGTGGGATAATTTACCAGCATCGCCAAGATGCTGGTATGCTGCTCATAGCATACGCTGTGAGTGTTATTTTAGCCAGAATGGTTTGTGAAAAGGTTACAGTCACAAGTGAACTTGCAGGCCCAAATTCTGTGAAAGACTTTCTCTTGTGAACGAATTTGTACCAGTAATTCACCTGTCTTTATAGAAAACAAGGAAGCATGTGCCCTTACACCAAAAGAAATTTTAATCAGAGTAATCATCAAAACAGCAGAAAGAATATCTTGTCTTCAGAATAACGTTCGCTCCCAGGATACCAAAAAGTACTTATGAGATCGGAACCTTGTCACAGAGCGCTTAGACCTATGTCCAGATGCCAAACTTTCTCCAGCAAACTGCCCGACACCTCCATGGAAGCATTATGTCAGGTCTATTGGCGGCAAAGCCGTAGTTTACAAGTGGCCTTAACTAATGGTCATCCTTTGGTCTATGCCGGATGCCGCAAAATCATGTCACGTGTCACAGATGTATATTGTGAACTGTTAAGTATAACTGCAACGAACTCATTTTGAAATGGATGAAAAACTCAGGCTGACAAATGAATTTGCAAAATTGTAGGGACAACGATTTTCGTGCCGCTCATACGAATCTAACTTACTGCAGGACTAGCATGCTGCTCGGGGCTTGCGGTGCCCAGTTGGGATGTTGGTTGCAATTTGCGCTGCTCATGCTAAGGAGACAAAAGTACCTTTTTCCCGAGTTCCGATGAAGTGCAGCTATTTCGGCTCAACTAGGAAAATCCAATGAACTAACAAGGATAGCATGGCGGCTTCATCAATAACTTCTACTTTGTCCCGCAGAATGACATTGGCTGACATGCGTGCCGTGGGATTTCACAACAGACAGGAGGCGCGGAACTGTGCGGTTTTGTGCATTAGGTACTAACGGGCGCTGTGAATCTGGACTAGGTTTTGG